AAATGTGATTTGCTACCGAACTTTGTGTACGCTTAAACACTAGGGTTTGAAGTACCACTACACCAGTGTGTAATTCGTTCTATCCTGGGAGGAAATAATCCACAACCTTGGGTACTAGGAGGGGATTAAATTCCTTAAGGAAACACTGTGAATTCAGTGGGCTCGGACTAAAATTCTGTTTCTGTTTATGTTCATTTATATTTTCCAGAATTATTTTACAAATATAGTTTACTAACAAAGTCTTGGTACAACACTAAGGGGTCGTTTGGTAGGGTGTATAAGAATAGTACTGAACAAGATGTATTAGTGATACAAAGATTAGTTATTGTGAGATTATTCTTTATTGTTTGGTTTGATGTATTAAAAATAACATGCATCGCATAATTTTTTTAAGAAAATTATTTGTTTACGAAATACCCTCCACATTCTTTAGCTTTGCATTTGGAAAAAGTTTTTAAAGGGAAATTCTGTTTTCATACATGTCCATGTATTAAAAACTATGGTATTGTTAATGCCATGATTTTCTATGTATAAGAATAATATTGGATAGTTATATGTAGGTTGAAAAATACTATTAAAGAAGAGATTAATAATACTAAAGCTAATACATGTATTATTTTCCTTAATACATCCTACCAAACAATCCCTAAGAGTTGCCACCATGTGACCTCCAGCTCACACGTTCAAATTGTTGAAATAATCTCTAGTAGGAATCATAAGACTACATACAATAGATCCAATGTGGTCTGGCTCTTCCTTGAGTTCCCACATAACGGGACTTTGTCCACCATGCTGCCCTATATTAACATGGTCCGGTTCTACTCTCTCTAGGACGTGTTCTGTAATGTCCTAAGGGGTCGTTTGGTTGATAGAGTTATGTAGGTATTAGTAAAGTAGGGATTAGTTATGGAATATTTAATTATGTAGGGATTAGTTATGCAGGATTTTGTTATGCAGGATTTAATTGTGAAGGGATTAGTTATATCAGGATTAGTAATTTTATGGATTGTAATATAGAGATTATTTTGTGTTAAATATTTACTTTATTTTAATTATATAATGTGTAATTTAAAATAAATATGAGAGTTTTTTGGTTCATTTGATTGTTTAATCCATGTATTACTAATACATGTGTTAGTTATTCCACATTCTACCTGGCATAGATAATAGGGATCTTTACACAAATATCCGACTATGTTCTTTGTTTATTTTTTCTAACCATATAGATAGAATATACATTCATTATACACAATTATATACATATAATACATAAATTATGCATATATTATACCTTAACCGACTATTTTTAGTTTAAGCGGTTGGGTGAGCGAATATTTGAGTTAATTCTTCTAAATAATACATAGATTTATTCTATAACTTATCCATATTTACTTATACTCCCGGTGGAAAAAGCAACAAAACATAACATTAGTTATGATGACTTTTGTAAAATGTAACTAAAAGCTACCAAACTTGGTATTAGTTATGTTACTCCTAATACATGAATAACTTATCCTACGACCAGCTAAGGGGTCATTTGATTTGATTACGGGTTATGCCGGGATAAGTTATGCTGGAATTAGTTATACTGGGATTAGTTATCCTGGTATTGTTTTCTATTCACTGTTTGGTATATTGTATTAAAAATGACTATTTGCATAATTTCTAAGAAGAGGGTATAAGTTATCCCGATACTAATTACTCTACCCCTATAAGGTATAAGTTATCTTGGTACTAATTGTAATTCCGGAATAACTTATAACAAGTTTGCTAACCAAATAAAGTATTAAGGTGATATTAAATCTTTATTCTGCCACTATATTTACTTATACCTTGTACCAAACGACCTCTAAGTAAGTGATTACTTCCAAAGGTCAAATCAAGAAAACTAGTTATGCATACCTTAGCCTTACAATAACCAGAGTTAGCAGATTCAGCGAGAAGGCGCCTTCCTCCTGGAATTAAAGAGAAGAAATTGCTGGAGGATGTCTGAAAATGAACAGTTTCATTGGCATCTTCATCCTTTTTACAAGGCAGCCAAGTGTTGCTCAAGTGCTTAGGAATACATATTTTAAGCATTCTCTCTTGGAAAACAGTCAAAAGCAGAGATATGAATCCCAACAGCATCAACTCTGCATCATTTCATCATGTTTTTAGAATAGGAACTAATCAGATATCTTAACTTTGACAAAGTAAGAGAGAGAGGTAACAACAAGTGGATTTACGCAAGTGGGGTCGGCAGCCTTACCCCTGCACTGGGAGGGCAAAGACCGTTTCCGATAGACCCTCAGCTAAAGAAGTAAAAGAGTGGTAACGACAACCACCCAATGGATTCTCACAAGTGGGGTCTGGAGAGGATATGATATACACAGCCTTACCCCTACCTTGTAAGGGTAGAAAAACTATTTTCGATAGACCCTCAGCTTAAAGAAGTAAAAGAGATGTAACAAAGAGAAATTGAAGTAAATTGTACCTTCTTTGATCTTTTGTAAGGCTTCATAAAGAGGCTTCTGGTTCTTCTTAAGCAAATACTGTTAGACAAATCACAATTGAAACTCATATTATTAAAGAGACATGATACATATTAGAAGTACTAAGGGTAAAATCAAGAAAACTTTGTGCTGCAAACTACTACTGGAAACGAGTTGACAGTAGGCGCAAAAGGGCAGTTAGGTGCATAAAGCATCCTGTATTCACGTAGGGTTCGGAAAAGGGACGCATCCTAAGGGGTGTGATATAAGTAGGCGGAGACAACTTTTATCATTGCTCCAAAGCTCCCCTTCAACTTGACAATCAGCGTAAAACTAGTCAATTTAAAGAAGTTGGATTAACCATCACCTTGCCAGCATAATGAATGATTCTTTCAACAACAAGAGAGATAGCAACTATGAAAGTGCAGACCAAGGCAACAATCCATGTTGGTGTAAATTCCAAATTTGTTTCTTGGTCTCCTCCACCTCCTGCCATCTTTTATTTGTTGTTTTTAAAACTCCTGCAACTCAAATATTTAAGACAACATAAATATAGGATTATGAATATTTGATTAGGGTGACAAATACTATGTTTTGTTGATTGCAGGAGATATCAAAGTGGAAGTTATAGAGGAAGAATGAAATAGTCAGAAGAAGAATTCCACCTTGTGTTCATGGGTCCCATGCATTGACCTACTATGTTTAATTTAGTTAATTGATGATATTATTAAAGAAACAAAACTTAGGTGTTAAGCGTTAAGACACTTCCTCAAGTACTCTGTTATTCACATGCATATTGAAAAGAATTATTATTTTTTCCTCAAGTTGAAATTTTGAAGTGAAGATAAACCAATATAACAAACTTGTTTCACCAATAAATGCAAAAGTACCTAATAGTTGTAGAAAAAGTGAGTATTTAGCTATTTTGGCATCAAATTAATTGATTATCTGAAAGGATTTCTTGACATTAAATTTGAAAATTAACAAATTACTCCCTCAACCAAGTTTACTTGTCCACTGTTGACTTGACAAACCTCTTAAAAAATACTTCCTCCGGTCCATAATAAGTGACCAATTTGATTTTGGCACGCCCATTAAGAAAATATTAAATTCTATATAAAAATACCTGGTATGACTAAACTACCCTTAGTTAAATATTTAATGTGAGGAGTAAGAAAACTTTTTAGGGATATGTACATAAGGATAATTTTGTAAAAACAAGTTGAATTCTTTCTTTATTATATAAATGAACACTTATTTTGAATTAAAATAAAAAAGCAAATTGACCACTTATTGTGGATCGGAGGGAGTATTTTTTTAAGGGCTTTAGTATATCACCCCTATTTATTATATGTAGGAAAATGAATTGGAAATAAGCAAGGGTAAAATATGTATAAAATAGTGATTGATCAACGACTTTCTAAATTGGACAAGTAAAAGTAGACATTTATTTTTAGTATAATAGTGAACTAGAAAACTTGGACGGGAGGAATAGTTGCATTTTGAAGAGAACTTTTTTATTACTATTATATAGGCTGACTTGAACCTTGGGTATGATTTCTCCGTCTTCTTATGCCATAACTGTTTAGCAAATATCCATGGGGCAGAAAATAACTACCCCTACCCATTCTTTTTAATACCCAGCCAAATGAAGCAAATTTAAGTTACTATAAGCTAAGCTAATTCAAACCAAACCAAGTCAAGTTAAGACAAGCCAATTCAAGCGAAGCCAAATAAAGCCAAGCCAAATGGATAAAAAAAAGTTGAGATGGGTGGGGGTAATTAGTTTTAATAGGATAAGGTATATATTGTAAATAATTTTTAAATGGGTAGGAAAGAATAATTAGTTTAAGCTCAATAGGTATTTTACCTAAATTGCTCCTAAAACTAATTACATGCATAGTACAGATCTTATATAAAAAGTCAAAATACGCCAATAGTATATAAAATTATTTAAACGGTGGTCAGTACATATATAATTTAAAGCCATGTTTTAAATGATAAAAAGGAGATTGATTTATCCTTCGATGATGCAACCTATAAACGCGTTGCGATAGACTATGGGGTATTTGGTAGGGGAAGTCAAGTTTTACAAGTATTAAAGAACAAAAACAGTTGGATAGACATTAGTTGGAAATGAAGATATCTTATGCATCCAAGGTGTAGTTTAATGGTTAATGACGTGGGTGAAAATTATACAAGATCATAATTATACAAAAATTAGGTTATCTCTTTTGATATGCATAAGTTTTGGTGAGTAGAGTTACACAGTAATTGTGTTGGTGGTAGATAAATGTATTAAGATGTACACAAGTTGATTCGGTCACTAATACACTAGCATAAACGGCTCAGTTTCAAACAAATTGGAATTGGCTATATGAATCCTTAATGTCGCTCCATTTAATCTCATCTCACAAAAATATTATTTGGTTCGGACACCACCATTATAAAAAATAAAAAAAATAATAGAGAAAGAAATGAAGATATCATTAAATACATAAATCATTCTTTAAAAACTTTGATATAGTAGGTGGAATTAATAGAATAAAACTGGCTCATCATCTTTAGATGGTACTAAGTGTAAGAGTTTTGGTATAGCAAGTCAACTATTCCAGAAAAAGAAAAAATAAGTGTAAGAGTTTTGGTATAGCAAAGTTAATTCCGATTCTCTCTCTCGAGTTCCATTGAGGAAGCACAACAAATTGGAAGTTGTAGATATGATTTTGTTACTGCCTGGGGTTAAAAGGTAAGTAGAAATCATTCATTTTAGGTAACTGCTTCCTTAGAATACATTATGTTAGTCTGTCATCTTTCATTTTGTTGCTTTTGCAGTTTGTCTTATGTGAGATCAAAATAACATGGAAATTTTTTTACCTTAACGGATCAGGTTATGCAGGGGCATACAACATTCTAATAGAAGGTAATCTTTTGTTTGTTTGATCTACCACCTTACTCTCCTCGTTCTCTTAGAGAAGAAGGATAATGTTTAGTTGATAGAAGTACAAGCAAGCCAAGTTTAGTTAGATAGCGGTACAAGTAGGTCTTTAGTAAATTGATCGCATACAAATAGTCAATGTTACTGCAATTTTAAAAATGAGTATCTTATTTGATATGAAAAGAAAGAAAGGAAAAACTTAGAAAATGGTTATCTTATGTAATCAGTCTTCTAATGTTGATGCTGAAAGTCCATGTAAAAGAAAAGCTTTATTCCATAGCAGCCAAAAAGTACATGGATACAAGCACAACTATTCTGGATGTGCAAGGAGTATGATATGTTGTCTAACTATTAAATTAAGTGAGATATATGTGTCCTTAGAGTGTGACTGGTCCAATTGTTATTTTCATTGATGGTGACTTTGGAGAAACTGTAAAAGGTAGTCCTATTGTGAGTTTATATTCATCAATAACTTAAAACTATATGAATCATGGTGCAGGAATGAAGAACTTCAACAAATCAACAAGAAAATTCATTGAATGCCTCCAAACTATCGATGGTAACAATTTTCCTTAGGTAATTACTTCTCTCTCAACTAGCTCAAGTCATGACTAACTCTCTTCTTGCATTAATTAGGGGAGTAGTCTAACCCCCCAAGCTCTCAAACAGAATCGGAGGACTTGATGCTTAGGGACTGTTCGATAATGTGCGTCACTAGAAAAACTCAATTATTGAAAATGGTGTTATATAATATTTGAAAATGGTGTTACATGTTAATCATTAGTCCCAATATTGATTAATTGTTAAGTGATATCAGTTTGGGGATTGATTGCGAAGAGGATTATAATGGCTCTCTCTTTTAATTGATTTGGGGTGTGCTTGAGTGATTATTCTCTCTATTATTAGTTTCTTAGATGTAAACTAGGGACGCCATAAACTTTGCGTGGATGAGAACATTTTGTACGAATGGAAATTGAGTGTTAACTGATGCTTGGTCAAATCTACAGATAATGATGCGTATGCAGCTCAGGCATTGCGAATGGAGCAAGGCTGCAGAATGTGCATAGGTTTCTCGAGTCTCATTGTGTTTCACTCCAAGTGTAATTACGTCGCCTTTCTCCTATTTCGGTTTGGTTTGTTTATTGAAAGCTGTGATTTGCATGTGTTATGTATGCAATTATGAGAGTTTTTAGCTGTATTGAGGAAATTCCAGCTTTTGTGAAAACAGTGTTATAAATAGCGCTCGCCCCAGCGCTAATAGCGTGAGGCGAGGCGAGGCGAGACTGTGTCACTTCTTTCATCTGTTGCGTTGCGATTTGCATAAAGCGCTCGCCTCTGCTTGTGTAGCGAGAGGCGACAATGTAGCGTGAAGCGACTGTAGCGTCGCTTTTTAACCAAAAAAAAAAAAAGGGCAAAGACTTAAGAAAAAGGGTCGCGATTAGGGCTTGACTCTTAGAAGTTTCTTTTTTCAACTTCGAACAACAGAGGCGAGATTAGGCAAAGTTTCTTAAAAAAGGTTCGCGATTAGGGCTCGCGATTACTATGTCATCGTCTTCTTCATCTGAAAGCTTCAAGTTTCTACCAAGTGCCATATATATATATAAATTATCGCTTCACATAAAAAAGGCGAGCGCTTTGCTGCGCGCCTCTCGCCTCAGTGAAACGGGCCCTCGTCGCTATTTGTCGCCGCACGCTATCCAAAACACTGTGTGAAAATTCAGTTACATATCAATTGTATACTTATCCTTTTGTATCAATTATGATTGAGTTTTGGTTACTTATCAATTGTTGCTTTTATTTATTTTGTTGGCACAGGATATAGGAGGTCGTGTCACGTCATGTAGCAGCCCAAGATCACTCTATGGAAGTAACTTTGCGGATCATGAGTGTCCATTGAATGTATCTCTAGGATTTATTACTGTTTTTTCCCTTATGTTGAATTGATGTAAAATATTACTCCATGAATTTTAATACATTTGATGGTGTAATTCTGAAGTGGTTATGTTTTTTATGTACAACAAATGATTTATTTAAGTAATCGTTCTCTTATATTTGTGACTGTTACAAGTAATAGACAAGCTTTCATGCAATGGACAGGGTAAATATATGTAATGAACAAAAATTGTAGAAATTAATTACGAAATAGAAAACAATTATGGCAATTCAAATTGCCTTTTAAAGGACAATTGTGGCGGTTGTAAAACGCCATTTATGCAGGGTTCGACTAATGGCGTTTAGCAGGAAACCACCGTCATAAAGTTTTGGCGGACGTAATTTCCGCGTTTCGTGAAACCGCCATTGATACTTATAGTGGCGCTTAAAAACCGTCGTAACCCACTAAAATAACCGCCATTATTACAATATTTTTTGCAATGTCGACCGAACCCAGTAGCTTTGGTTAGAACCCTATAATTATCTTTTAAAATTCATTGAATATGTACAAATTATTCATTTAGAACCCAGTAACTTAAAAGAATTATAATTCCCGAACCCATAAACTTCAAATCTTGACTCCGCCTCTGCCCAAGTAAATACTAAATTCGAGACAAAAATAGTTAGTGTGACTAAACTATCCTTAATTAAATGTTACAGCATAGTTATAGTAGCACTTACTTCTCTTCTCAAATATGAGGAGTAAATGACTTTTTAGGGATACGTACATAAGGGTAATATTGAAAAAACAAATTGAATTTTTTCTTGATTCTATAAATGAATACTTTTTTTAAATCAAAATAGGAAAGTAAATTGGTTAATTATTGTAAAGCGGAGGAAGTAAAATAGTCGTTAATTGTGAAATGAAGAAGAGTCAAGTTAACCAAAGTTTCTCCCAATGTACACATTCCTCAATTTGATGATTGATGTAGAATTCGCATTAACTATTCACTATCTTATCTTTATCTTTCTCCAAAATTCTATCTTATTCGGCTAATGACAACTTGCCCGGACTAGTGACTGATACCTTCAATTTTCGCTAGTCTATACTCCAAAGGCTCACAAGAAATCAAAAGAATTATTCTTCTGTTCTAATTTATGTGACAATATTCGAATTTCGAGTATTAAGCGAGTTATTTTTTAAAATATTTTATATGTTATTTAAATTTATTAATTATTGTGATATATAATACTTTTTAAGTAGTTTCTAAATACGTAAGTTTTATTTTCAAAAATTTAAACTTTTATGTTTAAATATACGATTAAAATTAAAAAGTTTAAATCTTGAAAAATAAAAAGTATTATATAAATTAAAACAAAAGGAGTAGTGTAAATCTTATTCACTAAAAACATAACATTAAATTCTATTGAATTATTGGAAAACAAAGCAAAAAACGAAAATGGACAAAACGAGAAGGGGTCCGCTTAAATTATTCAAAGGAATATATTCACATTGTAAACGTATTAGCTTCTTATCATCTAATTCAAAGCAAAGCTCAAATGATGCTATATATGGGGCATGTCGTGGGGATTTTTTTTTTTTTTCACATTCGATTTTTAACTCGCTTTGGGAGTCAATTAATTCAAAATCCGTACTAAAAAGTCCTGCTTTAAAGACTTCTAGTTAATAATGGAGGATTACTTGTCATTTTAGGTACATTATTTGTGGTTATGTGAAAGTTAGCAACAGATAAATTCTATAGCTAAATAGGAGAATTCGTCCGCTAATAGCGATAATTATCAAGAAATTTTTTTAGCTATGAGAGATTTAGGACAGAGTGACGACAAAGATTGTAGCTAATTCCAGATTTCCTTTTTTTCTTTTTGTGATTGTTTTATTTCTCATCGTTTTTTCCCAAAAAAAAAGGGGGG